AAAATGATGTTTGGCTCTTGTACGACGTGCGATTATTTTCATTATTGCAAGACAGTTTTCGATAAATGAGTGGATAAAAGGGTTTTGATATTCACATGACATATCGGTAATCATCGATAGGAATAACTCATTTTGCTATTGAAAATTTATATTTTGTATTTGAATTTTATTAATTTTCGTGGGGGTATGCACAGGGTGTTTTAAATCAACGCACAACACGTACCAGAGCCCCTGAATAAGAGAGAGTAGATGTTCATCTGCATGAATCACAACTTTAATTGATAATTAATAAAAACAGCTAAAACACCCTGAATTGTTTTTTTACGAATGCTAAACGTGATTTATAAAATTTTTTTATGAATTCAGTTATTGACTTACTTTTGATTGAGTGAACTTGGAGGTTAGCGTTTTGATGACTGCCATATATTTTAGGGATTGTGCTCACCTGGGATGGGAATTTATTATATTAAAAGAGTAGCTTTTAACGAATGTTATAGAATGCTATTTGCCTGATGGCATAAAAAGTCGTATTTGAAGTGGTAAAAAATTGAAATTAAGATGAAATATTGAATATTGTAATAATGAGAGTTGTCTCCTCCTTACGATCATTAAGTATAGAATATGAAAATCATACAAAAAGATTTTTAAGGGTGAATTTGGGGTGAAGGTGGGAAATGCGACTGAAGAGTAGATTTTTAATGTTTTGTTTAGTGTGGGATTATCGCGATTGGGAGTGATTTTAGGGGGAAATGCCTTCAGAGCTTTCTTGTAGCTTGTACAATTCTCTATAAAAAGTGTCTAGCGACATTTTCTCCTAGACCCAATCCCTCCCGAGATGATTCCAACTTTAATAAAAATGTAAAATTTCGCTCATTAGACGCATCTTCTCCCTCGCCCTCCAAATCAATATTTAATTCTCTCAAACTCGAAGGATTTGTCGAATCAATATTCCCCCCCACATAATTTAATAACAAATCAGTATCACGCGAGCCTCCGAATAAACAAATTGCAAGCTCTACACTGCAATTTTCTTACGATTTAAATAAACAAAAACAATTAAAGCTTATGAGCTACATCTAAATATTTTCAAAATGGTAATTATCTTTCTTTTGTAGTATTTATCACGTGCATACTGTTTTATTTTATAGAAACATAAGATGAAAAAAATATTAAGTAAAATTCATTATCCTGATGACAAAACTATGATGATTGTTTTATTTTAATCTGCTGCATTATCAAACTTCTTTCATTGATTGGTAATATTTCGAATAGATTATCCTCGAGCAAATGAATCATAATCTCATGATGCTCCCACTCCCCTCACCCCTCAATTTTAATTTCAATGCCAAATCTTTGATGAAGAAATTTATTACAAAAATTAACAATTAACATCACATTAAGTGAATAAATGAGAGGCTTATTGCACGTGGTACTTGTACATAGCACAAGATGCACGTGAAAGTATCTTCGTTTTTTTTATTCAGAAGACAATTTCTGGAATTGAAAAAAATCGTGGAATTCTCGAATATTGATGTGAATTATTGATGTAATGAACAATTCCATGATTTTTTCAATTTCAAATTTTCTCTGAGGAACAAGAGAACATCTCCAGCTTTGTAATTTTGGTAAAGTCCTTTGTATTCGTTTGCGACACAATGAGTGTGTCCTTTCTATTCTTTTTTTAACGAAAAAAAAAATGAGAAAAATATATATAAAGATTATTGAGATAGATTATAAGACGATACGAGATACAAAAATAATATTATAGATAATATATCATTGTAAAACTTGTAGCTTCTCGTCATTATTTTCGTTTCGTTGATTTAGAGTGGCCTTCCTCAACACCCCGGAGTGAATTATTATCAGAGTGATACTTTATTGAAAGATGGAAAGAATTTCTATGAGTGCGTGAGTGCTGAGTGAATGCGAGAAACGAAGTCAATGGCTTTTTGCGTCGATTTTAGTTGTCGATTGTATGGATATGTTAATGGAGCTTTGAATGTCCTGCAGCTTCTATTCGTAATTTCAAAACAATTGTGGGAAAGTACGTGGAGGGTAGTTAAGCTAAATATCTGGAGAGAAGTTGAATTCAGCAGCGAAGAGCTTCGGTAAGCTCTCGAAGAGTTTTGGTAATTGTGGATTTGTCTTATGAATGAGAGACTAAGGGATTTCCTATAAAAATGACATTTTTTTCTGAAAGAACTTTGTTGTCGAGATATTTGGGCTATTAATAAAGAAGTGAATTCATTTTTCTTTCAAAATAGAATTTAAGGGTTTTGATAATTGTGAAAATATCTCGTTAACGAGTGATTTGAGGAAAAAATGTCTGACATTTTTTTAAGCCACCCATTATCGAGATAGTTAGTTAATTAACAGAGGATTGAAGTGAATTTTTGACGAAATCCAATTGAATTTTTAATAATTATGAAAATAACTAGTTAACACGTGATTTTAGGAAGAATAGCTGACATTTTTCTTCAAAACCACTCATTATCGAGATAATTAGTCAATTAAGAGGGAAATTAATTGGATCCTTATAAAAAATCAAAATAAATTTAAGGGTTTTCATAATTATGAAAATATCTCGTTAACAAGTGATTTTAGGAAAAAATACTTCCGGACCTCTTTTGTAGCAGATGAAATTTTCTGCGAAAAATGTCAGTGACATTTTTCTCCAAAACAACTAATTACCGAGATAACTAACCAATTGACACATCATTGACTAGAATTTCTGACAACACTTGTCGGCGACTTTTGTTAAGTGAAAAATGTTTCCTGAAAAAAAAATATTTTTCTCCAAAGCCATTCCTTATGGAGATAATTAGCAAATTAACAAAAAATTCAATTGAATTTCCCTCAAAACGAAATTCGAATCTTGATAATTAAAAAAAATCTCGTTAACGAGTGATTTTAGGGAAAAAATGTCAGGATTTTTTTCATATCTGACAAAATTTCCTGCGAAAAATAATTAAATAATAATCTGACATTGTTCCCTAAACCCACATTTTCTCCAGATAATTACACAATTAACAAAACGTTAAATTAACTCTTTCGTTCTGGCTCCCTCGCTCCACACCTGAATTTCCCCAAGATATTATTTTCGCTTGGTCATTTATTATGAGTTTGTAGGTGGCTGGGAGGTGATCATGATCAAACTTGTCGCATCATGGATGTAATCTTCATTGAAAAAAACAGAAATAAAGATGATAAAACGTTGAGAATCCAATCAGTTCGACGAAATTATTTTTCTCCAGTATGGAAAAATAAAATCTCCGATGTTGAGTTCACAGCACTATTGAAACTGAGCCACACTGAGCCAGTGTCGTTTGTGCTGATGTTTAAATGGAATTGATGAAAGGAGGAGGGATGGAGAGAGGCTGCTCGTCCCAGTGGACATCAGGAAATGGAAGCCATTATCTAATATACTTTTATTGCATCTAGGGGCTCTACTCGTCATTAAAAGAGACGGTTAGTCACTCACTCCATCCTGAAACCATTTATTTCACTCCGGAATTCTCCTCTCATTCTCATCCCATACGCGTAAATCGATTCTTTCTCAATCAATTTTTTTTCAGTCGAATTTTTCGAATAATGATTGGTTTTAGGAAAAAATATTAGAGAACTTGTTTTATAGTTGAGGAGATTGTCGACAAAAAATGTCCTTTAATGATTTTTACTGAGATAATTTGGTAATTGATGAAGGAGGATTGAAATGGAAGAAGAGAAAGCTAAAAAGTCCATTTGGATATTTTTGGAAATATCTCAAAATCTATTGAATTAATTGAAAAATGTCATTAAACATTTTTTGTAGTTTATGAAATTTGCTATAAAAAAGTCTTGTGGCATTTCTCCCTAAAACCCATCATTACCGAGATAATTTACTAATTAATAGATTCAACTGCAGAAAAAATTGCAGAAATTCTTTCACTTAATTTTGCGAATATCTCCAAAACCCTTAGGCTAATTGAAAAACATCTCTGAACCTTTCGTGTATTTTATGAAATTTCCCACAAAAAAGTCTTGTAGCATTTCCCCCTAGAACCCCCCATTACGAAGATAATCAAACAATTAATACATACATTTTTAACCTTAACGAATCGCACAACTTATCCCTTTAATTTTGAAACTAACTCCGAAACCCCTAGTTTTACAAAAAAAACTCTCTGAACCTTTTTTGTAGCATATAAAATTCTCCGCAAAAAAGTCCTTTCACACTTCTCCCTAGAACCCCTCACAACGAAGATAATCCAAAACTTAACAAATAAATCTTCAACTGTAACAAAAATCACAGGAATTCTTCCACCTAATTTTGCAAATACCTCCAAAAGCCCTAGTTTAACAAAAAAAACTCTCTAAACCTTTTTTGTAGCATATAAAATTCCCCGCAAAAAAGTCCTTTCACATTTCCCCCTAGAACCCCTCCCAACGAAGATAATCAAAAACAAATAAATCTTCAACTGTAACAAGAATCACATTAATTCGTCCACCTAATTTTGCAAATACCTCCAAAACCCCTAGATTAACAAAAAAAAGTCTCTAAACCTTTTTTGTAGCATATGAAATTCCCCGCAAAAAAGTCCTTTCACATTTCCCCCTAGAACCCCCACCGCCGAGATAATTCTACCAAATAACGCCTAAACAATGAAAAAAACTCAACTATTCAACTACAAACAAAAAAAAACAGTCCAACCCATAGTGCGCCTACCCCAAGAGCCCCCTCTGGCCAAAAACCTCTTCAAACCTCTCTCGAGCCCTTCCACCCCCCGCCCCCCACGCACCCCTAGAAATTCTCCAGCCGTCAAAACCACTCCGAAGCCCCCTATCCGCCAGAACTTTCAAACCCCGTCACCCGATTCATCCCAACGTCGCCGCGTCTCATTGGCTGTTCCTTCGACGCAAATTCCCTCACCCACCTATCCTGTCACCCCCCGCGGGACCGCCCCGCGCATGCGCATGCCTCCCAAACAAGCGCCAGAGCTGCAGTTGCCCAGTGCATCTAGCGTCGCTCGACTGCAAAGACAGTGACACGATAAATCTTGCACGAAATTTTGCCCGCGATAATTCCCGCAGATCATTCCACCCCTCACGCACACAATCACCTCCATGTGAACGTCGTAAATCTCGTGCGGTGGAAAAAAAAATAACAGTCAGTCTGTACAAGATGGCCGCCCGGTTGACATCGGCCTTCTACCACTTCACCCTTATTTTGCATCTGTTTTTGCTGATTAATTACAATTATGGGGAACGAATTGGTGATAAAGCTGGCACTCTTCATATGTACGAGGATAAAGGGAATGAGCGGGGGAGGAGGAGTTTTGTTGTCGATAGGAGTGAGTTTGATGATTATGTTGGGGAAACGTCATTCGTGCGAAATCGAAGGGATACGGCCAAAAACTCGACCAGTGGAATACCCTATGTCAATCCGAACATCACAACAAAGGTGAGTGAACGATGGTGAATTTATGGGTCGAGGGGTTAATTAGGGTTTCCAGCGGGTGACAATGACATTAGGGGAGAGCGGGGTTAAATGGACACTTTAGACTTTTGTTCTAATTACTCATAACTCAGAAACAAATTTATCAACTGAGCTCAGGTTAGGCTCATCACAAAGGGAAAGAACTGTTCTTTGCGATGAAAGAAAAATTATTAAATTTTATCAGCATTTCAACCCGTCATTAACATTTAAAAAAAGTCAAAAGTGTCCATTTTACCACAACCTCTCCTATTTAGTGCGGGTCGGGGGGAGGTGAGAGTATTATTGCGAGTACTCACCTGAAATGATAATTCGGGGAAGTGAGGTGATATGGACTTTTTCGAGTCATCAATATCTCTTGAGGAAATGGTGCGATTGGGATAAATTGGGCCTCATTTTGGAGGTTTAAAAAATTGCTTGGGAATGACAAAAAATTGGGGAATTTCACTCTGCGGTTATTGAGGTATTGACAACGACGCATTTAACCCTCTAGAATGGGAAAATGTAGAACTTTAATTGGGGGACAACTCCAAAACACTAGAGAGGATTTTTTATTTTGAAGGCTTTTTTCTAGTTTTAAAAGTACATTTGATTTATGCAAGTTGGGGGTTCGGCCAGAGGGTACTGTAGATTGGAGATGATGGAAACAAAGTCTAGTAGTTGCGATAGATTAGTTGTTAACAGTGGGAGGTCAATCACTCGAATTTCCGGATTTACTCACAACAAAGGTGAGTGAACGATGGTAAATCTATGGGTCGAGGGATTAATCACTGTTTTCGGTGGACAATGATGATGTTATTTACTGTGGGGTCGGCTGAAGGTGAGAGTATTATTGCGAGTACTCACCTGAAATAATAATTCAGGGAAGTGAGGTGATATGGACTTTTTCGAGTCATCAATATCTCTTGAGGAAATGGTGCGATTGGGATGAATTGGGCCTCATTTTAGAGGTTTAAAAAATTGCTTGGGAATAACCAAAAATTGGTGAATTTCACTCTGCGGTTATTGAGGTATTGACAACGACGCATTTAACCCTCTAGAATGGGAAAATGTAGAACTTTAATTGGGGGACAACTCCAAACACTAGAGAGGATTTTTTTATTTTGAAAAGGCTTTTTTCTAGTTTTAAAAGTACATTTGATTTGTGCAAGTTGGGGGTTCGGCCAGAGGGTACTGTAGATTGGAGATGATGGAAACAAAGTCTAGTAGTTTCGATAGATTAGTGGCCGTGACTATTCGCACCATTGCGTGAATCACTC